AAAACCAGCCCAGGGTCCAAACACCTCCCTCCCTTGGGCTGTGCACGCAACCCCCAGGAAACCCTCTGAGCAACGCCACAGGGAGGGACCCCATCTGGGCTGGGGAGGGAGCACCGCTTCCCCCTCACTCTCTACTCTTCTCCCTAGAATCACAAGGAGTCCAAGATCACCATCTTTGAGAAAGACAACTTCATCGGCCGCCAGTGGGAGATAGGCGATGATTACCCCTCGCTGCAGGCCATGGGCTGGGCCAACAACGAAGTGGGCTCCATGAAGATCCAGTGCGGCGCGTAAGTGACGGGGAAAGGACCGCGAGCAGCGGGGACAAACCGCTGGCATCGCTGTGCTACCACAGCTGGAGGGAGGACACCCCGCAACCCCCTTGGCTTACCTCTTATCCCCCTCGCGGCTGCCTGACGACTGACTCCTTTTCTTCCAGCTGGGTTTGCTACCAGTATCCTGGGTACCGTGGCTACCAGTACGTCCTGGAGTCCGACCACCACGGAGGAGACTACAAGCACTGGAGAGAGTGGGGTTCGCACGCTCAGACCTCCCAGATCCAATCCATCAGGCGTGTCCAGCAGTAGCTCCCCACTTTCCAGTCCATTTCTGCAAGGTTTCTAAAAGCTCACCGGCTCCCTTTTGGTGCTAATACTCCCCTCCCGAAATAACCACCCCTTCTTGTACTGCAACTGCTTATGGAACAACACTCCCAAACGGTACCAACTGCCACAATTGCCAATAAATGTGACTGAAAGAAAAAGATAAACCAGCTTGGTGGGTGTTTGCTGTTGTGTGTTTGGGGTTGAAGTCACACAGCCCTGTCCCAGTAGCAGGGGCCAGACTCTTCCCTGCCTATGATGGGCAGGGCTGAAGCCTGGTGGGGCTCACACCGAGGCAAGTTCACCCCCCAAATGTCCCGCACGCATAAACGCAGCAGCCAAGTCCTGGGTCGCTGCAGCTCTGCAGCCGCGTGGCTTCCTTCCCTCCCTGCCTTCCCCTTCCCCAGCCAAGGCGAAGGGCACCGTGCTGCTGGCCCCCCCGCCAAGCTCTGCCGGCACCAGGCACCCACATACGCACGGCCACGTGTGCCACGCTGCTTGCAGGCTTTGTGGCCAGTGCTGCCAGGCCTGAGGGACTGGAAGCCGACTCACCGGCCACGCAGCATCCCCTGGAGCCACAGGATGCTCTCTGAGAGCGCAAAAAAGAAAGTCACGCTGACACCCACAAACTTTAAAATTTTTATTCAACAATTTACATCACTTATTGTCTGTCTTAACGTATTCGATCTACACAAATTTCTTCTTTTTTCCTGATAAAATAATAAAATTTGGATAAATTTTGAAGACCTGTTGGTGCAGAATAAACAAAATTTCAGGTAACTTTTTTTTTTTTTCTTTTTTTAAACATTTAGTGTGAAGTATGACATCATTGGTAAAGATACATCATGCCATTACAGCTCATGGACATTACCTATCCTTACAGTCCGTGACATCACCCATACCAGCGCAACGGGCTGCGCCAGACACAGCTACAGCAGGTATTACACTAACTCTTCTAGCCACCCTCTCACGACCGGGAAAACGCCTACGTTTCCAGCTGGGCACACAGAGTGCATTAACCTAATCGGAAATACCGGGGAGGGGAGAAGGAAACAAAGACTACCTTTACCGATCCGTGTGGTCGTACACTACAACATCGACAACAAAGAGGGGCTGCCCCTCTCCGCAGGTCAGAGGTAATTCAGCTCCTGAGCAGGTAGAGCACAACCCCTCGCGGCGATTTTAACACACACCAGGAAACCGAACGAAATGAGAACTTATCGACGAGGGTGGGCAGGAGAGGAGACGGATCCGGCGGCTCCGCCTGGAGGGACCTCTCCCGCCCCAGCTCGCAGTCGAAGCGCGCGGTTGTGTTTCGCACCGCCCTTAACACTGAAATATTCAGGGGAGGGGGGAGAGAGGGGCATCCGTCCCCCCAGTAAACAAGTTGAGGACCCCCAGAGGCTCGCAAGCCGCTGGAGGTGTGTAAGTACACGTGTGATGGTAGATAGAAAAGCAGCCCTGTTCTGTATGAAAAAAAGCTGTCAAGTTAGTACAAATTTCTGCCACGGCGAAGGGAACACGAGGAGAAAGCTGTCAGGGTCCTTCTCCCGTCACAAAATCCTGACTCTCCCGCACAAAGGCTCTGGGCTAAGCAACGAGTTTCCAAAGGTGGCACCTGCAAACCAACGCACCCAAGTCATGAAAACAAAACCAAAATAAAGCTCTCACCCCGCAGGCCGGCAGGAGCCCGTCCTCCGCTCCAGCGGGCTGTGGACTACAGCCCCCGCAGCAGGGACAGCGAGGAAGCCCGTCCCTCCCGCCTCACAGTGGGAATACGCAACGGTAGGGTTTCTCTTCGGTTCATTTTGTCATTAGAAGCCTCATGTTTGCCCACGCCATCCGCCTGCAATGCGGCTGACTGATCTCCATCCCTCCCTCAAAGCTGCTTCGCGTGGGGCCGAGCCGCGCGCCCCCCGTCCCCATCGCCGTGCTCTCGACCGGAGAAACAAGGGCACTCTCGTTTGTCCGACAGTACGAAGTGTATCTGAAACGCGAGCCAGCACACCCCGCTCCCTCCAATTCAATTACTAAAGTAGGCTCTTTAAAATAAAAAAATAATATATATATTTATATAGCTATACAGAGAGATACAGAGAAAGCAAAGGAGATAGGCTACTAAAAAAATCAAGAAGCGCCAGTTTTCTGCTACAGCTGTCAGCAAAGAACTGTCACCTTACATCATACCCTCCGCGATGGTGAAGATAATGCAGGCAATGACAGCACAGGAATGCAAAAGAGGGCAGATAAGTCACTTCTGGTAATGAGACACAAATTAAACTTTCAAAACATGTGCATAGCTTTATTCATCTGCTTCAAACTAACCTTTTCACGGAGCTTCAGCGAAACCCGAGTGTGCAAAATGCATTTCTAAAAAATAATGCAAGCAAGCTTTCACATTTACAGTGGCAGAAGTACAGAAAGACTCGGACAGAAATCACACATTGGGGCAAGTGAGTCGGAAGAGAGATGAAGAAACAAGAATTGCACAGCTTCATATTCTGAGTCACTGACTGCAAACATAAGCATTTCTATTTCGTTAATTTTAAGCAAGGCGCATTTACTTCTCCTTTACAAAAAAAAAAAAAACTGAAAAAACCCCACAGTAACAAGAACCACAACCCAGAAGGGAATAAATCCCCCGGGTAGCGGGGTCCCCGGTGCCGCAGAGAGCCCTAACTCCAGAGCAAAGCCGGTTCCAGACCTTCTCTTGTTTTCGCTTTGCAGGCAAAGTGCCGCAATGCTTATTTTTGTCCACAGGAGAACAGCAAAGCAGCTTCTCTTTCTCTCCCCCTGCCCCCCTCTCCAAAGTCACAGAAAACGGCTCGTGTTCGGAAAGGAAAGGTGCCATCCCATGGGACATCGTCCCCAAACTGTAAGACAGCCACTAGGCAGGCTCGAGTCCCAGTCTCGTCTCGATCCGATGGGTCACCGGGACAGTGACGAACCCTCGACTGTAGATGGGGCACGGCCACCGTGCTGCCAGCCCCGCGCCCGGCCGTCCCACGTCCCCGCAGCTCACGCACCACTACCAACTCTCTTCAGCAAGACTAAGCACACATGCAAGGCACATTTAGTCAGATGTACACACACACGCATGTGCGTAAAAAAGCAAACGCTGGCTTACTAAATGATCTTCTATAAATAGTCAAGTAAATTCCCTTTTTTCCCCTCCAGTAAACTCCTCCTTCATGGTATGCATTCCCCCCTGCGGTGGTCCAGGTTGTGACCCATGAAGACGAGAGCTTCTGGACTTGCCCGTGCCCTGCGGCAGCACCTCGATGCGGCGAGACCTCCCTCTGTTATTCCCCAAGCCGTGGGCTTTCATGCCTCAGCCGTCAGGTTTCGGCTGGGTAGATGGCCTGGCATCACTTTTTTTCTTGGAAAACATCCGACTCCAGGCACCGGCCACTCCCCGGCAGCTGGAGGAGCCTACGACTCCCCAGTAGGAAGGAGGCCACGCAATCGTTAATACTGCTGGTTAACTTCACATTGAGATAAAGCATTAAGAGATCTTCTTGCAGAAATGAGCAACTTCCTTCCATAGAGAGATTCAAATAGAAAACAAAGAGATTAAAAACCAGAAACGAGACAGGAGTCAATTGAGATTTTTCTACCTTACAAGTGACTCAGGCATCTTTCCCGCCCCACCAGCCATCGAAGAAGAAGTTGAAAACCTCAGGGATTTGCATTACCCTTCCAATAGCAGCTTGAGAAAAGGAAGGAGAGAAAAAAATAAAAATAAAAAAAATAAAAATGCACAGTGCTCTCTCAAGTTAAGAGTTCTCCTTTGCTTGCGTTTGCATAGAAATTCCCGTAGGTCAGCACCAAAATCAGGTACAGCCCTCTCCTCCACCCCGGCTCCCCCAGGTCCTACGCTACCCGCAGAGTTAGTGGCTGTGTTACAGGAGGGTTCAACTATCCGCAGAGGAACTACATGGTCATGTAAAAAAAAAAAAAAAAAGTGCATCACACATTCTTGATTTTCAGGGTTACTTATAGCAGCAGCAGCATTAATCCAAGACAATGAACAGTTGTCGATTCATTCTTAAATGCAGCAAACACTTAATGAAATGTCTTCAAGGAAGGTCAGAAGAGGGTCCTTCTCAAAAGGATAAAATGGAAATTAGACTATTCAATATAGACAAAAAGGAGATAAAACAAAAAATTAAAGACACAATCTTATTTACATTAAAAAAACATTCTTGTTAAAATATCTTTACAACACCTAAGCAAAAAAATATGTATTTTAAGAATAAAGCAGAAACTCCTAAAGCAGTATCCATTTTTGGAACCCTTATTTAGCACCTGAGGAAAGACCGTATGGAAAGCAGACAGGTTGGTTTTTTTTTTTTTTTCTTGTTTTGTCGTTTTTTTAAGAAAACTGTAAGTCGTGTTTTCGCTAAACGTTCGTATGTTCGCAGTACACAAGTTTCATACCACAGAAAGAAATGAACTATTTTCTTTTTTTTTTTTTTTTTTTTTTCTTCTTTTGAAAGATACTCTACTCATTCATAAGGCTGTAGAAAAGGGATACTGCTATCTTACAAAATGGCTTTAGAGCTCTGGACACGTTATACGAAGCTTTCTGATTAACAGTCAAGATAAATACAGCTCAGCATCCCCCGGCCAAAGCACAGGTAGGACTTTTGCTCCTGTCCCGGGACAAAGAGCAGCTCGACCCCCCCGGCAGCGTGCCTCCGAGGCTCCCTTGCCCCGAACACAAGGCCACCACGGAGCTCTCTTGTACCTCCCCAGACGTCCGCCGCATCGGTGTCGTGCTGCTGAGCGATGCCACTTTTGAGGATCTCGAGCAGGATCCGAGGAAGCCAGCCTTACCCCGTGGTGGAACACACATTGTGCAAATGTCTAAAGCTCTGTACTCTCTGGAAGGCAGCGCGTCCGGCAGCACAGACCGAGATCTTCTGCTCCTTCGCACCAGCCCAGGTTCCTGATTCTCAACTGCTTGCACTAGGGTTTTTTCG